GCAAAGAAATGCGCTGACCGGATAACCGGAGGACAGCCCCGGGCCCTGACCAACCGGGCTGGGGAGCGCTCGCAGGGAACCGCAGGCCAGGGGGCGCGGGGGCGAAAGACCGCAGTGGACAGGCCAAGTCACAGGTGGAGGAGGGGGTAGACGGAACAGGACCACCAGGACGGATTGTGGGAAGAAATGCAGTCAAAGGCCGCAGCCAGGGCCGCGGCGCCAGGCCAAGGTGGGGACAGGCCTGTGGTGGGGAACAAGGGGGTAGCAGGGGGGCAACCTGAGCGGGCAAAACGGGAGGAGGGGCACCGTAGACGGGGCCGGGGCGCCAGGGCAGGCGGGGCGAACAGGCCGCCCGAGGAGACGGCCCGGGTATGGCGCCGGGCGGGTACGAGCAGCTGCCACCGAGACAGCGCGGCTGGTGGAGGGGTCAGCCGTCAAGAGGCAGGCGCGCGCGGGGCCGCCGCCGCCGGGGGTGGGGGGAGAGAGAGGGCCGAGGGAGGCGGAGAACAGCACAGCAGGGCGGGCGCGTGGGGGCTAGGGCGCGTGCCCCGGAGGCGCCCGCAGGGGGCCGGGCGACGCGGTGCCCAAGGGGCGCACGCAGGACAGGGAGACACTGGAGGCTAGGCTCGGGCACCGCCGACATGGGGGGGACAGCGCATGGGGTGGGCACCACGGATGCCACGGGGGACACAACAGGCCGGGATAACAAGCGGGGTAAGGGCGCTCAGGCTAGGGAGGAGGATAGGGGAGGCGGGAGGACAAAACAGGCAGGGCGGGCGGGGGCCGGCGAAACCGAGCAAAAGGGGAGGTGGATTGGTGTAAGGGGGCGGGCGAACCATATTGGAGAAAAAGGGAGGGGGCAACGGAGTAGGAGACAAAGCCAGGGGGGAGCAAAGAGGGAGGAAGCGAGGGCCCGGGCAGGAGGGCGGGGGAGAAGGCGAGGCAGGGTACCAGAGGGCTAGCGGGACGTCGGGCGGGCGAGATGCGGCGAGTGGGACTGGGAGACAATACGAGAGGGGCAGAAGGCGGGGCGCAAGGCGGTAAGGGAGCACGAAAACTGTGGACAGGCGGCAACCACCGGGAGTAGAGGAAGGGTGGCAGGTGCGAAAGCAGGGCGTGTGGGAAGAGAGCCGGGTAGGGGGGAAACAAGCCCCAAAGAACGGGGGGATACCGGTCGGCAGGCAGGGGGAGGTGGCCAGGGGTAGGCGGGCAGGCAATAAACAGATGGGGGCAGTGGGGGAGGACGGCGCAGGAGGCGTACGGGGAGGTGGTGGGAGGGCGGCGGGTGGAGGGGGAGGACAGGCGGGGGAGAGCCAGGGAGCCGAAGCAGGGGAGTGAGGAGTGTGCAAATAGGAGCGACGAACGTGCAAGAGGGGAGGCGAGCGGGGGCAATGCAGGGGGCGGGCGGGGGAGGGAAACCATGAAAGGGGAGAAGGAGGGGAGAGGTCGAGCTGCAACAACGGGAGAGGCGTGGAGAGGTGGAAAACAGTGCGGGGAGGACGTGAGGGCAAACAGGCGGGCCACCCCCAAGACCGGGGCGGATAAGCGCTGGCGAACGCGAACAGACGGGAGAGGAGGAGCGCGACACAAGATGCAAGGCGGGCGAGATGCGCGGAGGAGCGGACGTAGCACCAGTACCAGAGGGTATCGGGGGTCAGGCAAGCAGAACGGGGGCAACCACTAGGCAGGCCGCCGACGCGGCACGCAGGGAGAGAAACAAGCCAACGGGGGGCCGGGGAGGGCACAGGACGCGAGCGGAGGGAGGTGACGGAGCGAAAAAAGCGGTAGGCCATAAGGAAGGGCAGTGCCGGCGCGGAGCGGAGCGGGCCGCTGGAGGGCCGGCGAGGAAAGAAGTCACGAGGGGGGGTGGCGGGGGCGGGGGAGAAGCGGAGAGCAGGGGGGGGCCAAGAAACATAAGAACGGGGGCCAGGCAGCCCGACGGAGGCCGGAAGACAAGGCGGGTCAGAGGGGAGGGGTGGGGCGGAGAGGAGGTGCGGAGGGCGATGCCGACGGACGCAGAGGGCACGGAGGGCCAGGCCAAAAGGAGGGGGGGAGAAGCGTGGGGCGACAGATGAGGGAGGGCAGCCATATGGGCAGCCGCCCATGAACAGGGGGAGAGGAGGACAGGGGGGTGGAGAGCGAGAGGTGCCATGGGTGAGAGCCAAGGCACGGGAGTCGCCACAAAGGATCAACGTGGGAGAGCGGCACAAAAGCGCGGAAGCAGGGACAAGGAGTGTGGCGGGCCGGAAGAGACCTAAGCGACAGGTGACAGGGAGACACGGGGGCGGGAGGGGAGGATGAGGTACTCGAGGAGGGGAGTGGGCCGGATGAGGGCTCAAGCTGAGGCCCCCGCGGGCCGTCGGGGAGAGAGACGGAGGGCCGGGACGCGGGGGAGCCAGGGCAGGGAAGACAAGAGAGGACAGGGTCGCAGCCGAAGGGGAAAAGCTGACGGGAGCGACCCACACGAGAAAGAATTTAGGAAGGGGGTGGGGACAGCGGGGAAGGGGAGAGAGAGGGCAGGAGCGCAGCAGAGAAAGGAGGCAAGCACAATGCGCAAAGGAGGTAGAGAGGAAGGGGTGGGGGGTGCAGGGGGGGAGTAAGGGGGGGAATGGGGCCGGGGGGGGGTGGAAACGGGTGACGGGGAGTAGGGGAGAGTAATTACGGGTGGGAGGCGGGGAGTCAGGGCGAGAGGGGGAAGAGCAGGCGGGAAAGGTAACGACCACAGATGGGAGAGGAGAGTGGACAGGCACTGGCGGGGCACGGAAGGGAAGGGGGAAGGGTAAAGAGGAAGGGGAGGCCATCAGGGATAGAGAAGAAGGGAACGATAGAAAAGAGGAAGGAGGAATGGGGGGGGGGCCGAATAGGGAAGAGACGGTGGAGGAAGGGGAGGCAGGGGTGGGGGGGGAAGCGAAGAGAAAGGCGAAGAGGTTGGAAAAGACAGAAAGACCCGGAGACAAAAAGAAGAAGAAGAAGAAGAAGAAGAAGAAGTAAGAAGAAGAAGAAGAAGAAGAAGAATAAGAAGAAGAAGAAGAAGAAGAAGAAGGAGAGACGGAAGGAGATGAAGAGAGAAGATTAGAGAGAGAAGAGGAGAGAGATGAGATGGAGGAGAGAGAGAGGATAGAGAGAGAGAGAGAGGCGGGGTAGCACAGGGGGAGGGGGGAGGGGGGGGCAGAGGGTGCATAGGAGAGCCAGGAGGATGAGGAGAGAGATCCATAGGAAGCATGGGAAGCAGGAGGGTTGTGGCGGAGGGGCGAGGCACCAGGCGCCGACCCAGCGAACGGCAGAGGACGGAACGCGGCAACGGAGACACCGCAGAGAAAAAAGCACGTGAGAGCGGGGAGGGAGGAGGCGACGAGAGAGAGAGAGAGAGAGAGAGATAGAGGAGAGAAGAGAAGAGAGAGAAGAGAGTGAGGAGAGAGAGAGAGAGATGGAAGAGAGGCAAGGGGGGGGGGACTGAGTCACAGGAGGGGAGGGGGGGGAGGGGGGGGCAGAGGGGCAAGGAGAAAGGCCAGGAGAGGAGAGAAGAGCCACAGGAAGCAGAGGAGCAAGAGGGGGGCTAGAGGGCGCAGCAGGCGCCGACCAGGGCGACGGCAAGGGGAAGCGGCGGCAGAAAGACACCGAAAGAGAAAAATAGCACAGGAGGGGGGGGGATGGACACGAGGGGGGCAGGGGGGCAACACGGGGGGGAGGCGGGGAACCCGACCGCGATGAAGAGGGCGACGGGAAGGACCAGAACACGGAAAGGACACCTAGGGGGGGGGGCACGGGGTGGGGAGGACACGAGGGGGGGGGGGGCGCAAACAGGGGGGGGTAGGGCGGGAACTGCGGCCGCGTAGGGGAAAGGCCACGGAAAGGACCAGAAACACCCCCACGCACCAAAACGCGCAAAAAAGCCGCATGAAGGCGTCACGGCCCGGGAAAGGAAACGGAGCAACGACAGCAGAGACAACCAGACGAGCCACACCGAGGGACAGACCACAGAGAGCGCGGCGCGAGAGATAGAGAGAGAAGAGAGAGAGAGATAGGAGAGAGAGAGAGAGAGAGAGAGAGAGAGAGAGAGAGAGGAGAGAGAGAGAATGAGAGGGAGGGAGGAGAAAGGAGAATGGAAGGAAAGATGAACAGGCTAGAGAAGACAGGAGAGGAGTAAAGAAGAGAACAGAGGAAGCAGGGGCCAAAGTGAGGGGGGAAGAGGGGGGAGAGAAAATGCGATGCCAAGGGAGGAGAAGAGGTTCGCACCCGCCCAGACAAGGCGTCCCCGCGAGAAGGGAGGCCCCGGGCGAAGTAGGGAAGAGGGTCCGGGGAAAGGGCAGCACGGGGGAGAGGGGGGGGGAACGAAAATAAGGAGTGAAGAGGAAGTCGGGAGCCGGGGCGAAAAACACGACCGGAAAAAAGGGACAACGAGGGAGTGAAAGCGGCAGGGTGGGCGACAGACAAAACAGACAGAACGCGCAGGCAAGGAGGAAAGAAAGGGCAGGGGGGGGGCGAACGGGATAAAGCCGGCGAGACAGGGGGGCTTAACGGGTAAAAAAAAACCGACCGACTGGAAGGGAGAAGGGGGGGGCGGAACAGAGAGCGCAGTGAACAACAGCTAGGGGACAAGCACCGGTAGAGAAGAGGTAGGAGGAACATGCCCACACGCCCACCCAGGAGGTGAGGGACGACGAAGGGCAAAGACAGCCCGGGTACACGTGCAGGCAGGGAGTGGGCAGACAAGCGGCACGAAAGAGCCACAAAAAAGAGGGGGGGAAAAAGACGGGGGGGGGAGCAAAACGTGTGGGACCCCACCACACGGGCGCGTGCGGGACGAGCAGGGCCGGGCGGCGGGGCGGCCGCGCGCGGGGAGCCGCGGGCCGGCGTCAGAACACGTGGCAAAAACAGCGCAAAGGTACGGGGAGGAGGGAGGAGGGAAAGGAGAGTGGGAGGCGAGCAAGGGCGACAACGGGGAAAGCCGAAGAGAAGCCTGCCCTGTGAAAGGCGCCCAACAAGCCCCCACCAGGAAAATGGGAGGAGGCGGGGACGGGGAGGGAGACGGAGGGGAGGAGAGGCGGAACGGAGGACGAGGAGAGCAGAGGAGGGGAAGAGAGAGAAGAGAGAGGCACAGGGGACAAGGAGAAGAAGGAGAGAGGCACAGGGGGACAAGGAGAAGAAGGGCGAAACAGACGCAGAGACAGAGAGGCCGAAGACGCCCCCGCAAGCACAGGGGAGACGAGGAACCGGGAGCGGGGCCCGGAAGGAAGAAAAGCGAGGGCCAGGCAGAGCGGGGGGGAAGAGAGCAGCAAGGGGAGCCGGGGGGAGAGGAAGGGGACGGGGAGAGCGCCCGAAGCGACGCGAGCACGAACAAAAGGAGAAGCAAGCGCCACAGGCGGGGGGCGCGCAGGAAAGAGGGGAGGGGCACGCAGAGAGGGAGCGCCGAGAGGAGCACACCAGAAGGGGGGAAGGGAAAGACCCGGAAGCGGGAGCGCACGCAAGAAGGACAGAAGCCAGAGAACCGCAGCACAAACAGCGGCAAGAGCGGGGGAGGCAGCCGCAGGGGAGGACCGGGCAACAGGGCGCGGGGCGGGCAAACCCAGGAGAGAAGAGGACGCCCCAAGAAAACAGCAAAACCACGCGGGGAGGGCGAGCGGCAGGACAACCAGCCCAAGCAGAAGCAGAGAAAGCAGGAAGGGCGCGAGAGGAGCACCGGCGGAGGCGGAAACCAGGAGCAACGGGGCCCGGAACAGACCGGAGGACCCGGGGGAGCGGCGCCCAGGGGGAGAGGGGGGGGCAGGCAGAGGCGGGCAGAACGGAGGAACGGCAAAGGAGAGGGCAGGGCGGGGGACAGGGAGAGAGGGCAGGGCGCCAGCGAGACGCCGGGACGGGGGGGAGCAGCAGAGAGAGCGGAAGGGAAGGGGACAGGGGGCGAGACAGAGAGAGGGGGAGAAAGGGGGGGCAGGCAGACAGGCCAGCCCGGGGGAAAAGAGCAGGCAGAGACCGGGGGGAGAGAAAAGAAGCCCAGGGGCACGCGGAACGGGGGCAAGACCCAGAAAAAAAGGGGGGCACCAAGAGCGCGGAGGGGAAGGGAGCAGACAGGGGGGACAAGAGCGGAGACAGAAGACCCGGAGCACGGCCCAGGACAAGAAGGGCAGCCACGGACACCAAGAGAGAAACCAAAGCAGAGGCGGGAGAGGAAGAGAACAGAGAGACAGCGGGCGGGGAGGCGGGAAAGCCAACCGAGAGGAAGAACGGAGGGAGGCGAGGAAACCAAGCGCGGGGAGCGGGGGGAACCCAGACAGAGAGCGGGGAACAAACAAACAGGAGGCGGGAAGGGAGCAGCAAGAGAACCAGGGGGGGCGGCAGAGAAACGGGGGCAGCCAGAGGACCAGGCAGAAAAGCAGGAGGAACAGCGAGCGGGGGGAGAGACCACCCAGAGGAGAAAGCGAGAGAGAGAAGGAGGCGGACAGGCGGAGGCGGACCACGGGACGAAAAGGGGCGAAGAAGGCCGGACCGGGAACCGGAGGAAAACCGGGCGCAACCAGCCGGGCGGGAGGCCGGGCAAGAGCACCAGCAGCCGGGCGCGGCGGACGAAACACCCAGGGACAGCCAAGAAGAGGCAGACCGGCAGGGGGGGGAACGAGAGACCAGGGGGGGGGAGGCAGGAGAGCAGGGAAGGCGGGGGCCAGGGCGGCACGCCACGCAGGAGAGGGGACAGCGGGAGAGGAACAGGGGGGGGCCGGGGGAGGCACGGGAGCGGCGAGAGCAAAAAGAGGAGCAGCGGCGGGGCGGCGAGGGGCCAGAGAGGGAGGACGGACAGGGGGCCGGAGGGACCGCCCACGGGGACGGCCGCGCCGGCGAGCAACAGGCGCCACAGGAGCACCCGACGAGGCAGCCGGGCCAGGAGCCACGGCGGGGGCGAAGGAAGCAGGGAGCGGCGGGGCGGGCAGCGCAGCAGGGGACACGGCAGGAAGAGGGGGGCGGGGACGGAGAACAGAGGCCGCCCAAGGGCCAGAAAACGGAGGAGAGAGAGCCGGCAAAGAAGGGGAGGAGCAAAGGGGAAAACGGCGGCAGCAAAGCGGACAGGCCGGCAGGGGGAAAGCGGAGGAGGAGGGAAGGCCAGGCAGCGGGACCCCCGAAAGGACGCAGGAGAACCGAGGAAGACACAGGGAGAAGACCGGGAGGACAGCGGAGGACGAGGAGAGGGGCGAAGAGGAGGGGAGCAGAAACACCCAAAGACACGAAGAAAAAGAGAGGAAGGAGGGGAGGGAGGGAACAGGAGAGGAGGACGGGAGGGAGGGAAGACAGAAGAGGGCAGGCGGGGAAGGAAAGAGACAGCAGGCGCAAAGGCAAAAGCCCAAAAGGGCAAAGGAACAGAGGCAGGAGCGAGAAGAGCCAGACCAGGGGCAACAAGGGGACGAGGGGGGCGGGCAACACGACCAGGCGGGGCAGGGGGAGAGGCACAGGAGGGGCGAGGGGGAAGGCCGAAGGGAACAAACAAAGAAGGCAACGGGGGGACGCAGCACCGAAAGCAGACGGAAGGGCCGGGAGGGGGCAAGGAAAGGACCGGGCAACAAGAGGACGAAAGGGAGCAAAGAGGACAGAAAGAGCAGACGGGAAGGGCAGAGGAAAGAACCAGGGAGAACGGGAAGAGGCAGCCACAAAGAGCACAAAAGAACGGAAGCCAGAAGGAGAGAAAGGGGGCGCAGGACCCCAAAGGGCGGGGGAAAGAAGAGCGAGGACGGGAGAACGAGAGGAAGCAACACGGGGGAGGGGAAAACGGGCAGAGGGGCCGAAGGGACACGCAGGGCAGAAAGAAGGAGGACAACGAAGAGGAGCACGAGACCCACGAACCAAACAAGAACGAAGGAGAGGGCGAAGAACACGGGGAGGAGGAGGACCGAGACGAGGGGGCCAAGGGGAAGCCGAGGCACGAGCGGAAAGAAACGCGGACGGAGACGAACGAGGGAAGGAAAGGGGGGAGAGGCCCCCCGAACGAGGGCCCCGAAGAAGGAGGGCCGGGGGAGGGAGAGCGGGACAACAAAAAAGGAGGGGGGAAACGCAAAAAAGACGGGAGGAGCGGAGGCAAACGGCGGAACAGAGAAGAAAGAAGGAGACAAACGCGGAACGGGAAGGAGAGCAGACAAGGGAAAGGAGCGAGAAGGGGGAGGAAAAGAGGCAGGGCCAACAGGACGAAGAGAGAAACCCAGACCGGCACCGACACGGAAAGGGGCAGGACCAGGGGACGGCGCCGAGGGAGAAAGGGCAGCGAGGGGCGGAGGGGCAGGAGGGGGGCGCCAGGGGCCGGAACCCAAGGAGGAGAAGGGGACGAGGGGGAGCAACGAAACCAGGCGGAAACACCAAAGGAGCCGGAGAACCCGGAGCCCCGGAAGAGCGCCGAAAACAGGGGACGCCCGGGGGACCGAAACGGGGGCAAAGGGGACACGGAGCAGGAGAGCGCCAAAAACAAGGGGCGCCCGGGGGACCAAAACGGGGACAAAGGGGACACGGAGCAGCAGAGCGCCAAAAACAAGGGGCGCCCGGGGGACCAAAACGGGGACAAAGGGGACACGGAGCAGCAGAGCGCCAAAAACAAGGGACGCCGGGGGGCCGAAACCGGGACAGAGGGGACACGGAGCAGCGAAGCCACGGGGCGGACCGCCACGGGAAGGAAGGGGGCCAGCGCAGCGCGGCAGCGGCGGAAGGGGAGGAAGCACAAAACCCGAGCGAACGGAGACCAGAGGAGAACGGAGGGGAGGAGAGGGGCGGAACGGAAGGACAAGGAGAGCAGAGGAGGGGAAGAGAGAGAAGAGAGAGGCACAGGGGGACAAGGAGAAGAAGGAGAGAGGCAC